TGTGCTGTGTGTTTCCCAGAGTGCTTACTTGCATTATGTAGTCAACAGGGCTTTCTGTCTTAGAGTTGGCAGGTAATTAAATCTCACCTTTCCTAAGAGATGTTGCAATGTGGTGAGGAATTTAGAAAGTAGCCTCTCAAAAAGGATGCTGACTTATGCCTGGGGTAGTGATCATCTCATTAATAGTTGGCATCATATTAATACAACTGAAGGCGAGGAGTAGATTTCTTTTTTGGCCATTTGTAGAGTGGCTTACAAGGACAGCTGTTCCTTTATTTAAAAAGAAAATAACTGCCTTCTTCCTGTTGCAAACACCTCGTCCTTTATGCCAGTTTTCACGTTTTTCAGTTGTTCTGTTACAGAAGTAGGTAGATGCACAGTCTTTTCCCTTTGACACAAAAATTACTAAACTGACTTTATTCCTTTTCTCTATGTCTAACTTTCCCCAGTCCTCTCTCATCACAGTAAAAACGTCCCTACTTCCTTAGTTGTAACTTTCTAGCTCTGTGGAAGTTTGAGTGATTCATCGCATAGTGGAATTGATGAAGTCAACAGCTGCTGGAAAAACATCTTTTTCCTTAATAGCTGTATCAACATGTGTTTGCTATTATTCAAGTAGAAAAAAATAAGTATATCAAGTGCAGTATTTTGGTAGTCCCTGCTAGAATTTTCATTAGAGAAACTCCTCATGTTTTGCCATAACAAGATGTTCAAGTGGATACAAAAGAGGATGGTTTCATGAAGAACAGACTCGTGGACATATAAAGTGGAAGAAGAAAAGTAAATTTCTATCACTTCTTTAAAAAATCATTTGTCATAGCTGGAAATGTTGGGGGTATATTACATGTCAGAACAAAACAATTCAGTCCTAACAATAATCCCTAGAGGAATTTATACCTATGAGCCCCCCACCCCAGGAGACATGTACATATGTGATTATATCAGCACCATTGGCATCATAAAGGATAATCAAGAGATAACTGGATGAATAGGTACACTTTCACATGATAGGCTGATCCATAGCATTGAAAATGAATGATCCAGAGTTATAGTTAACAATCTGGAAGAGTCTATATTAAATGAGAAAAAACTCCCCAAATATCAGAACAGTCCTTTTTGCATGATAGTCTTACTTTTTAAATAATTTTAAAAAGAGCTAAAACTAAATCATATATTTTTGGGGATTCTTTATTTTTAAATTTTTTTTTGTAAAAAGGCAAGAAAATGATAAATACAAAATTTAGAAGATTGGTTACCTCATACAGGTGAAGGGAAACTGGTGCATGGGAAAGAGAAGGAACAAATGCTCCTTTGATTTGATGATGGATTCATAGGTGTCAATTTGTGATAACTATATAATGAAATAAAATAAAATAAAAGAGAGCCCAACATGGACCAATGATAACATTGACCAATAAGTAAATCTATGACTATATCTGGGCATAAGAAGTAAACAATTATTGAAAAAGCTTGCTTGGCTTGAAAATATAATTATAGCTAGGATAATTTAATAGTGCTTAGATAATGTCTATAGATAATTGTCTTGAGAAACTTGGCTGTTAAAGCAGAGAAAACTGCTCTGATGATTGGAGGAAAATCTGAGGTTAAGGAAGGGAATTACTTTTTAATGAAAAAGATATTCATGATGTTAGTAGACTAATTGGAACAATCCCAAATACAGGGAGTTAAAAGAGATACTCAAGGGAGCAAAGATCTTGGGAAAATAAGAGGAGATGAGATTCTAAACACATGTGGAGGGAATGGCTTTTGGTAGAAATAAGGAATCATCCTTTTTAGCAGAAGGAAAAGGGAAGACAGGAAGGAGCAAATCTAAGTAGATTTGTTGTGCATTGTGGGAAGGGTAGACAGTTTGTATTGATGGGTCCAGTAAATTGGTTAATGAATTACACCAAGAGATATTCCTTATTATTAAAGCTACTGGCAGATTTGAGAGTGAATATGAAAATCAAGTTAATGAATGGAGATTCTTAGGGGAAAAAAAACAATGGTTTTGAACCCTAAAGGTAAAAGGGTTCTACCAGTCAATCTGATTCCATTGTGATTATTTAATCTTTGTTTAAATAAATGTGAATATTATGGTTCATTTTGAAAAGTATAGGTGTTTCTTCCCATCATTGAAATCTTTATCTTGAAGTCTGTATATCACTTAGTCCTCTTATTGTCTTGAAAGTCACTAAACCAGTGGTTCTAAACCTTCCTAATGCCATGACCCTTTAATACAGTTCCTCATGTTGTGATGACCCCCAACCATAAAATTATTTTCGTTGCTACTTCATAACTGTAATTTTGCTACTGTTATGAATTATAATGTAAATATCTGATATGCAGGATGCATTTAGGTGACCCCTGTGAAAGGGCCATTTGACTCTCAAAGGGGTTGCAACCCACAGGTTGAGAACCGCTGGCCTAAGCCCAGGAGTTGGAGGTTGCTGTGAGCTGTGATGCCACAGCACTCTACTGAGGGCAATAAAGTGAAACTTTGTCTCAAAAATAATAATGATGATAATAATAATAATGCTTGTGAAGTGTCTAATAGGAACTCAGAAATGATGCAATTATTTGAATCCACATCCCCCATGTTTTTAAACAAAAAATAGTAGCAGTATCTTCCATCTAGTTTTTGACTTTACTCTTCAAGTTAACATTATGTATCATGAGCATACTTCCATGTTATTAAATAATTCCATTACACAAAATATTAGAAAGCTTTGTATATATCATAATTTATTTATCTGTTTTTGGATATTTATATTGTTTCAAATTATTATACTATTGACAATCAAATGAACATCTTTGATGATGAACCTTGTTATGCCTCTGTTATTTTTATTCAGTAAAACAAATTGTGGGATCAGTCATATGTACATTTATTGTCCTCCAAAAGGCAGTGGATGAGTGTGTCTACTTTCCTGGATCTTTATGAATGTGGATGTTACTTTTGTTTTTGATCTCTGCAAGCATAGGTGAAAGCGATATTTTATTGCTTTGATTGTTATTATCTCATTATATTTTCTGTGATTGTTGTGCAATTCTTTTTGTGAATTATCTTTTTCATATCTTTACCTGTTTTTCTATGGGCCTATTTATTGCTTTCTTAATTTATGATAGATTTCTATATTTTAAATATATTATAATACTACCCATGATATACATATATCTCAAATGCTTTCTTTTAACTCTCTTTAACATTTGTGTTGCATTTGTTTCTACTGTTTTCAATATGTAGAAATGCAAAATTTTTATGTATTCATAGCCATAATCTTTTCTTTTATACTTTCACCTTTTCGTGTTACGAGTTTTTCTTTACTTCTCCTCTTCTCCACTTTTATAAATATAGATAACAATTTAAAAACCAGAGGATTTGACCATCAGTACCCGTATTGGGGAAAGTATGAGTCAGGTATTCAGACAGAGCCCCACTCCACAGGGAAGATGCACATTATTATGTAACTAATACTTACTACATGTGTGTTGTATGAAGCTATTTATGTTCAATGTGGAGTAAAAGTTGCCCAAAGCCATGTATTTATTTGTGCATCCAAAGATGGAACTGTTGCAACTGAAAATATAAATAAGTAGGGTCTTGATGTTGCTAATATATATTAATTTAGAGGCTCAAATAATAAAGCCAAAACAAAGGTAATCCATGTTTAGAGTTACTTCACTCATTCTGCTTGAACTGGAGGTGTAACTTCAGACAGGATCTCCAATGCTGCCCTGATCAGAGGCAGGTCTTCATGTGTATACTGGAAATGGGTTTGTTGAGGAGCACAAATCCCAGACTGAGTTATTAACTGGTCAGCCTCAGTGCTTTCTTGAAAGTCCTGCAAGGAGAGGGACTGAGTAGAAAACCGAGTGAAGAAAATTTCAGGGTGAGAGAGATTAAAAGAGATTTCCTTAGAAAAATTTGGTTTGGAAGCCATGGTGATTAATTTTGTGTCAACTTGACTGAGCCATGGAGTGTCTAGATATTTGGTCAAACATTATTCTGGGTGTTTCTTTGACGGTGTTTGAGGATGAGATTAACATTTAAATTGGTAGCCTGAGTAAAGACTGCCCTCCCTAATGTGCTGGGTCTCATCCAATCAGTTGAATGAGTAGAACAGAAGGCCGACCCTCATCCTCCCTCCCCAAGTAAGAGAATTCCTTCTGCCCAAGGGCCTTCAAAGTGATATGTTGTTTATTTTCTGCCTCTGGACTCCAGCCTGATAGCTGCTGGACTGGTCTACATCATCAGCTCTCCTGGGCCTCCAGCTTGCTGACTCACACTGAAGATCCTGGAACTTGTCAGCCTTCATAATCCTGGGCCAATTCCTTATAATAAATCTCTTGTTCTGTGTCTCTGTAGTCTCTACCTCCATCTTCCTCTCTACCTCCTCCCCCCACTCCTCCTCCCAACTCCTCCTTCACCTCCCCTCCTCCTCCTCCACCACCTCCACCACCTCCGTCCATTTCCATCTGTATCTCCCTCTCCCTCTTCATCTCCATCTCCTATTTGTTCTGTTTCTCAGGAGAACACTGACTAATACAGAAAGTCCTGAATATAAACTTACCCCAGGACAAAAATAATATATGAGTGAAATATACTTCTTAAAAATCTGCTTAAGCATGGTAAATTTAAGGCATTACCCCCTGAATGCACACTGTGTCATTTACCAAATGAGAGTATTAACATTTGTTGGGAGCTCAATTTAGGTGGCATGTAATAGAACATTGGGTAAACTGCTACAGACAACTTTGTTATTAATTATAACTTTTATCTAAAGTGGCCCATGAATGTCGATGACTGTAGCAGAAAGAGCCCACCTAAATGACTCTCTGATATTGAAAAGTGGAAGATCATTACCCCTGCCCCACAAACACACCCCAGATTTGCACTTACTCTATCACAGACTCACTACATACAAACACACAAACACAAACACTCATAGACATTGACATATGAACACCTGTTAGAGGAAAAAAAATAAAGCTAACTGTTTAACAGTTAAACATTTTTATTGTGCAGACTTGTAACCTTTATAAGACATGCAGGATAAAAAAGTGTAAAATGTATCAGTAAGCATATAAAATTTTAGCAATCTTTTGGACCAACAATTGGTTTGCATACTAAGCATTTATGTAGAACAGACATGTCTTGGAATGCACAGTTTACAGATTGAATTACAAAGCCATTTCCCAAGCGATTTTCCTTATATAAAGATAAAATATCTTTACACTTAAAAAGTTGCAGCATAGCACATTTTAGTTATGTACACAGTTTAAAAGTAAAACTATGTCCATGCCAGTGTCTGTTTTAAATGCAGAATATCAAAATAGGTAACAGGTTGGTAATTAAAATGTCAGGAGAACTGGAAAAGGCAAAAGTCAAACAGAGGTCCCATAAGTGCAGGGAAATAAAAATAAAAGCATAACTGAAGGTTTAAAAAAAGTCCCCCAGGGCAGGATCACAATAAGAGCAGGAAGAATAAAAAGCTTTTGGATGTACCAGGCAGCTTTCTGCATGACTCAGGTTCACAGGTGAAATTCCTCAGTTTGAGTTCAGAAGAATTTGAACTTATTCCAGCAAATTACTCCAATCTTTTAAAGCTGCCTCCTCCCCCAGCTTCTTTCTGAGCAAAGTGATGCTTGGATTAGGTCCCAAGCTCCTGGCAGGGGGAGGGGCCTCGTGTCACAGCATAACGGACAGTGGCGAGTGCTCTGCTCAGAAGGGGTCATGTTTGCAGCGACTCTGACAGTCTCACACAATGGCCTCCATTTTGACAGCCATTTCCCAGAGGCCCACTGATCAGCTGAAAAGGGAACACAATGTTGAGCCATTAAACCACCCCGGTGACGGATTAGTTTGGATTCAGGAAAGCGTGATTATTCTTGAAAATAAACGAAGCTGAATAGGCATGCTGACCTCATTGAGCTGATGAGAGGCAGGGAAAGTTGGCTTCCACTCCTGCCAGCCCAGAGAGGGCTCGCCCCATTCGGCCACGCTAATTTATTTCATAGGGCTAATGTTGATCATACTGGCTATAGATAAAGATGCTGCATGATCGAGCCCAGACATGAGCATCCCAGACTCTTAACTCAGTCGGAAACAAACACGGAAAACTAGGTCATGCGTTTTCTATTTTGGTCTTCAGGGAGGCGCTGACCTAAAGAAAATTGATGGGTTAGCCTCTATTTGAGAAGGAAAATGGAGAAGGCACTTAAGTTTCATTATCTGTATAACAAATACCCAGGCACAGAAAGTATCATCGGTTAAAATTTCAAAAAGAATAGGCATTAGTCAGATCATGAAACTGCAGAAGATTATGTTTTCTAACTTGTAAGGATCACTAGATCCTGCTGGATCATTAAAATGAATGGCAGTAATCCACTAACTCATCAAGAATTTGCTTAAAAACTGCCTACATACTTCTGCTCTTAATGGCCAGAGCCTGGAGTTCTTCCCTTACCATAGAATGACCAACATTTTAGAGTAGGCAGTTGAGGCTATTGGGTCTTATTTTTTTCCTCCTCAGTTCTTCATATTTCTCGCAAATTATCTCTCAATAATATGTTCATCTCTCAGCCAATAAAACGATGATTGATCCACATGTAAATAAGAAAGTAAGGAAAAAAATTTAAATGGGTCTGAAAATTCAGACTGCCAAAAAAGAGGCAAATAAGGATTACGAAAACTGAGAAAGTGATTTCTTTGTTCTCAACCAAGATAATTCATTCATAAATTGCTGTTGTACTAGCAACTTGAAACTTGAAATTGGCACCAAGAAAATCGAAAGAAAAATAAAAAGAACCAGATATACTTCTCTCCTTCAAATGTCACTTATATTTCTTTCTGCATGTTGATGCGGATATTGCTGAATATTTTGCCAATAGCTTCAAAGAGTGGGTCACAGAAGGTGTGTACGTAGATGGAATAGACGCGGCTGATGCACTGAATCTCGATCAGGAAGCTCTTAATGCACGGTACAACTGCCCAGATGTGCAGGAAAGAGAGAATGGCGAAGTAAATGCCCCAGATCAGTGCCATTGGGATGCCGAACAGCGCAGACAGCAAGCGGTAAAACCAGTATTTTGTCACAGTGAAGGTGGTGAAGCTGGCCTTCCAAATGCCGTCAAAACTATGTGTCCCTTCTGGTTCTGCAATCACATCTTCAAAGTCAATCTAAAAGAAGGAAGTAACAGAATGTGAGCATCGATGAGAAAAAAAGAGTAGAAAAGAGAAGAAAAACCCCACCACTGACTATCCATAGACATGGACGGTATTAGCGCTAGTTCTGAGAGAGGCTGGAAAGCAACCAGCAGTATCAGCATCACTTGGAACTCACTGGGAACACTGGTGTCTGGGCCCCACCTGACACCTCCTAGGGTGGAGCCCAGGAGAACTTGCAGCAGGTTCTCCATGTGTTTCCTTACCACACAGAAGGATGGGAACTAGGGAAGACCAAATGGATTAAATTTCTTGCCTGATAGTCAAACCCCACAACATGGTTAAAGAAACAAGGCGCACAGTAAAATGGGAAGAACATGACATAATTTAAATGGCTTCAAAGACAACTCCACATGCAATGTTAAGGAATAGTTGGTTCATAACCAACTGATGACTCTCCAAATACTCACTTAGCAGAATTACTTCAGGAAATTAGATCATGGTAAGCTGGAAGGCATCAAAAAGTTTTATGGGGGTGGTGAGACTTGAGCAAGGTATGGGAAATTGGGGTATGATTTGGAGAGGAGGAAGGAAGGGACCTTGAAAATGTGTCAGAGCCCCAGGAACAAGCAAGGAAGAGTACAATGAGAGTCACAGGAGGGAGAGACCTGTGTCGCCAAGGCTAGAAAGACAGGTGGAGGCCAGACTAGACATTATTTTATGATGGATCAGGAAGTACAGCCACAGCCATGCAGTTTATCAAGATGACTTTGATAACAGTGTGCTGGTGTGGGAGAAGGGAAAGAGGCTCAGGCAGGGAGACT